CACTAATCAGAGGGGTGTCAGACTGAATCCTCCCTCTCCCCAACAACTTTCAGGCCACTTTTCTGTCCCTGAGTACTGACTGAGTGGAAGAGTGAAGCGTGTGGGCCCCAAACCATGGCAAGGCTGATGTGAGGATTAAATAAGAGACATAGATGCCTGGCAGCAGCTCACTGAATATGAGGTTCCTCTCCCAGGCCCTTCTCTGCCCCTGGAAGAGCAGCAAAAGGGAAAACAATACGTTATGATGCCCTTTTAATGCTTCTACCCAAAATAGGAATGGCCTGCTAAAGAAAGCCTCTGGTGCAGTCTGAGGTCGGAAGAGGTTTGTGCATTTCATTGATTCAGTTAGCTCTCTATACATCAGAGAGAAAAAGAAATACATCTTTTTTTTTTTACGTTTAAATCAAACTACAGATCACGTGAAACTTTTTTAGCTTTTTCCCAAATCAGAACTGAGTTCTGGTTACTCATCCTGCGGCCACCGAAGTAGCAGGCTCTCAGGAAAAGGTGTTAACTTGAATGAACAGAAACAGGGCAAAGTAGGCCACCTTTCAAAAGCAGGATGCCAAAGAGCTGAAAGTGACCTTCTCCCACTTGGTGTCAAAGAATCTCTTCTCATGGCAGGGAGTCACCCACCTTTTCTCCCTCGAGGCAGGGCGCTGAAAGTCCTTTCGCTTCTGAGCTAAGATCTGCCCTGTAAAATTCTACTCGCCGTTCTGAGCTCTGCCCTTTGGGGCTAAAGTCTCCCTAACCTACCACCAAGTCCAGTCTGTCATTATTCAAAGTCAATCATCCCAGCCCCCCAGTCATATCTTTTCCGAGATGAGCATCCTGAAGGTGCCGTAACCGCCAATGTTTCTCCATCTCACCGCTCTCCTCTTTCTGGACACACACACATCCCTTCATTATCCATATCACTCTTCAACATATTGTCCAGAGGGAAAAACCATGGTTTGCTTGTGTTCTGACTGGCTCCGTGGGCACTGGCGCTCACATGGCAATGCCACCTCCTTTACTTGGGAATCCAAGGAATGCGGCCCAGACTGCATTCTCTGCTCTGGCCCTCACATGGCCCTGGCATTCGGCTCAAAGGAACCTTTTCTCCACGAACTATTCTTAGGTCTGTTTCCCCATCTTGTATTTTATTAGTTCAGTCCAGAGTCACAATCTACCACAATCTCTGGGACACCTGATCCTGTCTGTTATCCAACTCAATTCAGCACAACAAAAGCACAGAAACAATCACATACGAGGTACAAAGCGGGTACAAAGAGAGAGAGAAAGCCCAGCAAGCTGTGTCAGTCACCCATGCAAGGCCATTCTGAGCATCTATCCCATGTGTGACTCTGGACTCAGCCCTAGGACCACAGAGATGAACGGCCTGACATGTTACATGGCTCTCCTACCCCTGGCCTCTGCAGAGCTGACGGCATGTCTTACTACCTACCATTCAGGGAGTGATTAGCATATGTCAGGGAGGTGTTGACAGCTTTGCATGTGTTATCTCAAGTATCCTCACAACAATCTTATGGAGTAGGTATCATTAGCCCCATTTTACAGATGAGGAAACTGAAACTCTTGAGAGGTTAAGTAACTTGCCAGAGGCCACACAGCTAGTACATGGTCAGGTAAGGAATCAAACCTAGGCCAATTTTATTCCAAAGCCCATGCCCTCACCTGCTTCTAACACTACCTATGTCTATATCTGAGCCACTCGCAAATGCTGCCCAGATCAGGGCTAAGGACCCCACTGAGAACTCTCCCCAGGGCTCCTTCAGGACCAGGTCCAAGCATTGATGAAAGCACCTGACTATACTATATCCAGTTCTTGGTTTTCAACCTTCTCCATAAACCCTTGTTCCATGCTTTTCAAAAACCCAAGGACCTCATCTATGGCTTCCCCCTGCATACAGATGAAAAAACAAGTCCCAAGACTAATGTCAATTACACAAAGAAAAGGGGCAACTAGAGAAATACTAAAAAAAAAAAAGCTCTTAGGAAACCCAAGGAGAATGTGACAGAATAAAGGAAAAGAGTGAAAATAAAGTCACAAAAGGGATTTCCTGGGAGCCAAATGGCATCACCATTACAGATGCTGAGAAACAGACCTTCAGTCCCATTTAATCCCACTGTCTTTCCCTAACCTGTGCCCTGACATAGGGCACATAAAAATAAATGGGAAAAAAAAGTCATACATTAAAAAAGAAAGAAAAGAATGGAACTACAGAAAATAACCAGAAATTATGCCTCACTGAGCACTGATAAAGCTAAATTAAGCCTGTATAGGACACTGTTTAAATATGCAATTATTCTTCTGGATGGGTAAAGTCGCAATATAGGAACAGAACGGTTCTGCTCCCCCCAACTCCGGGGCTCCAGCTTGAACGCATGTTCTCCCAAGCTAGAAACGGGGAACAATCCTCGTTCCTCCAGTCTCTCTCCCACATGGTCAAGGCTCTCAAGATCCAGCCCCATGGACACTATCTCGGTTCCCAGCTTTGTAACAATGCCTCCTCATCCAGCCTCTCTCCTTCCAGTCCAGCCCTCACAGTGCCACCCAAGGACACTTCCTACAAAACACACCCTCCTCCAAAACCTCTGTGGAATGTTCTTTATCCAAGGCCCTCTGAAGTCTGGTTCCAACTTCTCTCATTAAATTCACCTTCTCTGGCCTTCGGCTTCCTCCTCTGTAAACTGGACAACAGAATATGTACCTCATGGGGGGTTTGCAAAGATCACTCAGGCTAACATCAGTACACTGCCTAGCCCAGGGGCTGGCACGTGTTAGGTGCCTGGATGTCTTACCCTTTCCTACTCTACCTGGCCACCTGTGTTCCTTGCTGTTTGTCAGCTTCTGGAGGACAGAGACTATGTTAGTCACCCCTCCATAGTCAGCAGCGCCCGGTACATAACAGAAGTTCAATAAATGTGTGCTGACGGATTCCCACTTATCAAAGAGGAACTAAAGCCAGGAAGAAGGGGACTGTCCTGAAGTCACAAAGCCAGCAGGTGGCAGAGGCAGGTCGCAAACTCAGATCCTTTGGCTCTGAATCCTCAGCTCTTTCTACCACACCTGCTGTCTCAAAGGATCCTGATCACATTTGTCAGCCCAAACCACCCTGGGCCTTTACAGTTTGAAGTGAACCTGGTGAGCTATTCCAGCCAAAGCAAACCAGAAACATCATCCAAAAGCAAACATGCTGGTTGCAGAGCAGAGCAACCAGCAACCTCAACTGAATCTGGTGATATGAGTCTGCTTTGTGCCAATGGCCTTGCCCACACAGGCCACAACACACTCTACTCGAGGGCCAAAGACGGGAACTGATGTATTATACAGCTACCAGGTGTCAGATACTGGGCTGGGTACTTCAAACGGCCTACTGAAGCGCCAATCCTGTTACTCCCACTTTACAGAGGAAGAAAACTGAGGCTCAAGGTCACACAGAAGAACCAGCTAAGAGCAACAGCTGGGCTTCTCCCTTCCTAACTCAAGCTCTTTCTACACACACCCAGGGCTTGTCTCCAAGGACCCTTGAGCTGAGAGCGCCTGGTTTACCCTTTTTCTCTCGTGCTCCTCCTCCCTCTGGCCTCCTTGCTTGTCCTCACATACCCAACCACTCTTCCAGGCACCCACGTGGCTCACACGCCCATGTATCCAAGTCTCATTTAAGAGACCTTCTCTGGAGCTTCCCTGGTGGCGCAGTGGTTGAGAGTCCGCCTGCCGATGCAGGTGGACGCGGGTTCGTGCCCCGGTCCGGGAAGATCCCACATGCCGCGGAGCGGCTGGGCCCGTGAGCCATGGCTGCTGAGCCTGCGCGTCCGGAGCCCGTGCTCCGCCACGGGAGAGGCCACAACAGTGAGAGGCCCGCGTACAGCAAAAAGAAAAAAAAGAGAGACCTTCTCTGACCACACTATAGTCCTTTCTTCTTTCCTTCACAGCATTTCTTTTTTCTTCACGGCATTTTTCACCACGATATATATTTACTTATTTGTTTGTATTCATCCCCCACTGGAACGTAAGCTCCACGAGAGCAGGAAGTTTATTTTGTTCATGGTTGTATCCCTAGTACAGTACAGAGTCTGACACACAGAAGGCACGTGTGTGCTGAAATAGTCATTGGGCACCAATAAGGTGCTAGCTGCTGGAGTTATGGAAACAATCAAGGCAAGTTCTGACCCCACAGAACTTACACAGTAACAGAGGATAATAAAAACCAAGTATTCAATTATAACTAAATACTACAAAGTGGAATTCAGGTCCCTGAGAGACTGGCTCATGGGGTCCCTCACCCAGTCAAGGGTCAGAGAAGGTTTCTTGAGAAAGGAACATTAAATCTGAGGTCTGAAGGACGAGTAGAGTGTGGCTGGGTGGACGTGGACGCAGAGAGCGCAGCCTCCGTTCTGCGACTAAACTAAAAGACACTGAATTGTGCACTTGAAGTGGGTGAACTGTATGGTGTGTAAAAACAAACAAAAGGAAAGATTAGTCCTAAGGGCTCAGGGGTTTCGGCCACGGAGTGACTTGATCAGTTAGGCAGAAGCGTAAATCAAAAGGTGAAGGTGACTCGAGGTAAGCGCCCTCACGGGGTGCTGCGGGCAGTCGGCCCGTGCAGGGGCCACGACTGCTTTTGAAAATGGGCAAACTGAGGCCGACGGCGGAGACATGTGCCCGTCAGGAACATTCCACCAGCGGGCCCGGCGGCCGCAGACCCCTGGGCTCCCCGTGGCGCCCCCAACCCCCCGGCGTGCTGGGCCTCCTCCGCCCGAGCCGCCCCCGCGAGGCCTGAGGCGCGTCCAGGAACCGCGCTCTGGGGCACACGTCTCTCCGGAGGCAAGACGGTCGGGGAAGGAAACGCAGCGGCACTGAGTTTTCCACTAGCCGCGCCAGGCCGAGGACGCCCGAGACCTCACATCCCCAGCCAGTCCCCGCCACCACGGGTGGCTCAGGCCCCCGTGCCCCCACCCGCGCTCCCACCCTCCGCCGGCGCCTAGCGGCTCACCGGCCTCCACAGGAAAACGTCAGCTTCGGACGCGGCGGACGCGGCTACCACCAGTGCGCTTGCGCCCCCGGATCGCCGAAGCACCGCCCCGGGTCGCCGAAGCACCGCCCCTGCAGGGCGACTTGAGCCGAGCGCCCTCTATCGGCCGCGCGCGGGACTTGGGGTCTGTTAATGAGGAAACCCTACTGGGTGCCCTTTCCCTGATCCGAGTACACCTGGTTGAAAAAGAAAGCTGTCCCACTCACAACCTTCCTTACCTTAAAAACCCACCCTTCCTTTTGGCTTTTGTTACCTCGGATATAAGCCCTGAAGACAGGCTCTCCCCATTTTCCTGAGTATGGATTGCTGCTAAAATATGAGGGGTGTTCAAGATCTATGAAAAGGCTTGCAGAAGGACTTTTCCTAAACCACTCTTGTTGATGACGGGAATTATATTTGGATGGGAATCTGCGTTTTGAGTCATTTCATCAAATTACAGTCCCATAACACCTGTCAAAAGAATAAATATGAGAGTAATAGGCATGCTTCCTTTCAGACCCATCTATAATTATAATTGAGGAAAAGAATACAGAATTTAAACTCACAGCGACTGCCAGTATCATTCTTTGAAAATGAAATAATGCTGTTTTATTAAATAGGCTCTCCCCGCTTTCTAATGTTTAGAGCTAAAGTGCTTCTCTGAATTGATTTAAATACAAGTTTTATATCCTGAAAGAGATAAAGATGAGTCTTTATCTTAAGACAAACCCCCTGTTCAATGATGCCACTGATCTTCTCTCAGCTGATGCCTAAAAGGGAGTTAGGTTGTTAGTAGATAATATTGCTTCTGTTCACGTGTCTCTTCTCTAGGGCTTTTTAAACCTATTTGTAATGAAAAGGCCGATTTCCTTACACAGACAGACTCCATATGTAGCTGATTTAACAAGATAACTTTTTATTTTTCCTTTTTTTTTTCTTTTTCTTTCTTCTTCTTCTTTTTTTTTTTTTTTTTAAGGAAAACATTGCTCCCTGGTGGCACCTGGGGATCTCTTTTCCTCCTTTAAGGTAAGAAAAGCAGGAGATATTTCTTAACAGAAGTGTTTTTTAAAGTTTTTCTCTTTTTTTCCTGACCTCCTTTAGCATCTCCTTCCCCACTTTGTCCCTTCCTTCCTTCCTTTCTTCCTTCCCTCCCTCCCTCCTTCCTTCCTTTCTTTTCTTTCCTTCTTTTTTATCCTTCTTCACCTAACATACTAGCCTTCCTCCAAATCATTTGGGGGTTCCTCCCCTGAAATATTCAGATAATGACCTCAATCCTTCAATTTATTTTCAATATGTAGACTTGGACCAAATATATCTGAAACATACGACTGTACCCTCATAAATCAGCCCCCTTATTTACACACGCATAGTCAGAGGCACATCGTTAGTGTTGATCCAATCGATAAATCATTAAACTTTTAGAGCCCTTTTAAGGAACAATCTGTAGTCACCATCCATTCCTGTTTTCAGCCTTAGGATTACTTAATATTTTGAAGAAATATTACAGTCTGTCCTTTGGCCCTATCTCTCTTTTGTTCCTTGATCACTGTGTTCCCGCATCAGAAACATTGTTCTAATACCTAGATCTTATAAAATATTCAAGATGCAAGCTGTTCACGTTACCTCAGAAAGACTCCACCTTCAGAACCATGGGTGCCTGTTCTGTCTTTGCAAACACACGAGATTTTACCTTTCACAAACATTCCTTATAAGCGTCCAAGTAAAAAACAATAATAACCCAAAGTAGAGTAGGCTTGGATACCAATTTCCAATTGTTTTCCAAATGGTAATGGAAACCTAGATTGTGAACTAATTGGATTATCATACTTTTAACGTGACAGCAACCTTAGGTTCTTACAGCTTGAGTAGTAAACCTGAAGAATTCTTACCAGTCCGAACCTTCACAAAAATTACACCAGGCCCACAATCTAATGAAAACCCAACCATTCTTACCATGTCATTTTCCTTTCCACTGACATTTTAGCAGATGAACACCCTCATGTCAGACTGTGCACGATATTTCGAGATGAACAGCATTGAAAGACTTTTTACTTGAGAACTTTGTCAACCAAGAGTTGGCTGTCCAGGGGACATTTTCTCCCAGGGGCGTTTTTCGACTTTCCTAAGAAATACATCATTCCGTTCTCTTGATTTCTGACAATATGTCATTTAACCTGACAACTGCAGGTTTGTAACCATATCTGTGGGGAAAGTTACAAGTCCTGAAGTTTCTTCTAGTTTAAACCTGTTTTTAGATTTCAAAGAGACAAGATACATTTGCATCTTCTGATTAAATCAGGTTATTGTCTCAAAGGCTGACCATGTAAATAATTCAAATTCATTCATCACTGTACAATAGATTTAATAAGCATAATAAACACTTTGAAGAAAACACTTAGGACGCTTGGTCTGCCCTTGTTCTCATTCCCCATTATCTCAGATTTCCTTGTGAACAGATTGAGCGGTACTACGGGGTTCTCTTCTATTCAAAATATGCAAAGTTGCTATCGACCAGTTTGCAATTTGCATGTCTCAAATCCTGCCAGAACACAGGGTGAGGGGCATGAGGTGACTGGTGAATGTGACAAAAGGGGACATCAGGGTGAAAATGGAAACCCCAGTGAACAGATCTTCTCCACCCTGGGGTATTGCAGAACATAACCCTCACTGACTACTGAAGATTTCTTTTTTTAAGACAACGAAGATATTGGGTATGAAAGGTTACGTGAAATCTCAGACAGCTGGTGTCTTTTTTCTTTAATTGCTGGGTTGAAGAACGGGATGAGCAAGGATTTAAAGATATTTATAAAAAAGAGTAAAGAGGGAGAAGGGTACAATTGTGACTGTTTACAACACACACTTGGAGCGTAATTTACCGCCTGGGTTTTAGCCTTCCTGGACCTCTCTCTGTCTTGTGTTACTTTCTGCAGCTCCATAAATCTAAGCTTGCTGACTGGTATGTATCATTCTATATTCTTAGTGTGTTCTGTGGTCATATATTTACAGTGGCCACACGTGAGACCACACTGATGATCAGATGTATGTTATCTCTGAATACTGAGTCTCTACTTTTTCATCTCTTGAAAATATGCTCAATGTCTCATGACTTCAGATTATAAATAACATGCACACAGACGTGAAATTTTTTGTATACATCAGCTTTGGAATGGAATTTTTCCCATAAAAAGTATATGTGCCTGCTGGGTGTGTATATGGAGATATTAACAAAGGAGTGAATGTGTTTGGGAATATTTTTCTGTTTTGCATTTTGATGGCGTTTGACTAAAGATCTACTTTAAAATCACCGTGTTCACGAAGTGTAATTCTGTTTCCACTGACTACATCTGCAGAGCCTCAAGATGGCCACGGACAAGAATTAAATGCCACAGTTCATAGAAATGGAGACTGTTTGAAATGATCAACTTTATTAAATAGGATTATTTGGAGGAAGATGAGAGACAAAGCATAGAGGGCGAGGTGGGAGAGAGAAGAGCGGGACAAACAAAGGAGAGGAGTGGAGAATGAGAAGAAGTAAAAGGAAGTTATCTTTTTGATCCTTCCCCAAAGAGGAAAGCCTGATAAAGTTAAGTGAAGCAGCCCTGAACAAAAGAGCATTATTAATTAAGAGAAACCATTATACATTTTGGCCAGGAAGTAAGGTGTTTTGGTCAATCAAATAGGTAGTTAATAGTTACCTTCCACTTCAGCGAACATTTGTTGAGACTCCTCCATGTGCAAAACTCGGTGCAAAGCCCGGAGTCTTAGCAGAAGCCTCTGGGCTCCATCTCTCCCAGTCCGGCTCTCCTGTCCTTCTCCACTTTTTGTTAGAAGCACATCTGATCTTGACACTGTCCTCCTTTAGCCCCTGTAATGGCTTCTCAATGTTCTCTGAATAGATATTCCAGACTCCTTGCCACATCCAGCAAGACCCTGCAGGGTCTGCTCTCTTAGGCTTCACTTGGCGTTCCCAGTCCCCTGCTGGGGCCACTGTGGGCTTTCAGATCCTCAAATACCCCATGTTCCTTCCATCCTGCTCCTCCTTTAGATCAACTTCCCTGATGCCCCTACTCCCACTAGACACTGGGGCAGATAACCCTCTCCTCCCAAACAGTAGCCTGTACTTCTCTCTGAGGCATACATCACAGTTTATAATTATATAAACTTAGTTTGGGTTCCCCCAGAAGAAGATGACTTTGAAGTGAGGGTTCGAGAGCAAGTAATTTATTTGGAAGGTGAGCCTAGAAAATATCCATTAAGGGCAGTGAGACAGGGAAGGGAAGGCAGCCCATAAAGAGAATCTTGCCCAGCAAGTTACCACCAAGGGCAACAAGCTTCATCCTGCTGGGGAACCAACGTGGAACACACACCTCAGTTATCCCACCGGAGGGTCATGGGACCCCGGGTACTTACACATCACTCCCTGTTAGTTACTGGTTGAATGACGCTCTCAGCAGCACTGACCCCCTGATACTTCTGGATTGCAGGGCTCTCAGGCAGGGGTGCAGATGCTGGCAGCTGCAAGTCAGCCAGGTATGCACAATGTAAGGCTCAAGGAATTATGGGTGAGGCACTGACAGTTCTGCTGTCAGTTCTAGTTACATACACATGTGCATTCACATTTAATACATACGGATATACGTATGTTGTCTTCCCCACTAGAACCCCATGAGAGCAAAGACTGAGTAGCAGTGTTGCAGTGTCCCCGTGCCTGTGCCCCACTTCCTGTGGTCCACCATTAAAATCACGCCCCCTTACCAACCCCCTCAATTCCCTGGTTCCTCTTGCCCTCTGTCACACATGCTCTGGATGACCCTGTCATCCTCCTTCTCCAACCTGCACCCAAGTGGATTAATGTTGGCACATAGAGCTGATAAGCTTCACTTTATTTTTTTTAATATTTATTTATTCATTTATTTATTTTGGCTGCGCCAGGTCTTAGTTGTGGCATGCGGACTCTTAGTTGCGGCATGCGGACTTCTTAGTTGTGGCATGAGAACTCTTAGTTGCGGCCTGCGGACTCTTAGTTGAGGCACGCACGCG